CGGTGTGAAGTTTGTTCCTTTTAATTCGAGTTGTTCACCATGTTTACCATAGCTTTACTTTTTGTCATTTTTTAAAAATTGAACTCAGTTAATCATTTCCGCTCTTGCCAACACCCTCTATGCATTTTCCCCTTAGCTTCTCATCACAGCCTCCCTACATATTCAAACCTGGATTAACTATCTGCTTTCTCGACTTAAAAAAAATTTTTTTTCATTTATTTTTTATTTTTAATTGTGGTAAAATACATGTAACATGCTTTCTCTTATTTTAGATCTGGGCTGGTAAGCACTGCTAGACTCATGGAAACTAGTGGCCAGACATAATCCACTGGACTTGTTACTAAACTTCTCAGCCATACTTTGTCCTTGGGTCACCCCTCTCTGGTCCTCTTTCATAGCATGTGTTCTTTATTTTTCTCCTAAAGTCACCTATGCCTTCCCCACAATTACCTTTGGCTCTGGACGGGTGGCCTGGCTTTCTCTGTCACAGAGAATATGGAGGCTCTCTGCTGTTCACACCTCGAAAGAATAGTCTATAGCCCTTGCATTCCCATATTAACTTTTCATTCTTTCTTTGGGCCACTAAAGTCAGGCTTCTCTTCCCATTACTCCACCTCATAAAAGTCACTGATTCCCTGGTTGCCAAATCTAGTGGCCTCTCAAGGCCTCGTTTACTTGATCTTTCTAGGACATTAAATGCTGACTACTTCCTTCTTCATAAAATTCTTCCTTTGCTCTCTGGGATGTTATTGTCCTGATTATCCTCCCTCTAGCACATTCTTCTTATTCTCCTTTGCTGCCCCTCTTCCTCTGCCCACCCCTTTTAGTGCTGATGCTCTTGGACCCTTATCTCCTTTTTGGTATTCTCTCACATCTGCGTGATTTTAATTATCATGTGCTTAAATAGTCGGTGAATTTGAAATCTGAATCTTCCACCCATATCCCTCTTTTAGGCCCAGACTCACAATATAATCTTTATAACAGTCCTACAAAATGGTAATGTTTTCCACATTTATAGGTGAGGAAATTGAAGCTAAGGCATGTTTGATAACCTGTTTGAGATCAAGCAGTCAGTGGAAGAGCCAGAATGTCAACCTCTGTCTAAATCTTTGTCTAACTTTCTAACATGCTATTATTAATCAAACATTTTCACCTGGCTATCTGACAAATATATATTAAATTTGTCATATCTCATACCAAATGCCATCTCATAACTCCATTCTCACTACTCCCCACTCCCCCAAAGAAGAGAGAATATGAAAATATATATTCTCAATCTCAATGAATGGCATTCTTTCTTCCAGTTATCAAAGCCAGAACATGTATAGGAAATTGACTTCCCTCTGTCTCTCCATCCTACAGGCCCATCCGCCCAAGGGATCGTCAGTTCCTGTGTATTCTCCCTCTTTAATATGACTTGTAATCCTGCCCTCCTTTTCACTTCCACTGCTACTGTCACAGTTAAGAACTTTGCATCGACCTCCATTGCCATTATAGTGACAATCCAAATATTGCTTTTCACATTATCTGAGATGAAGAATCAACATTTCTTGTTTTTAATTTTTAATTTGTTACAGAAATTTTGTAGGAAAAAAATGAATCATTGGAAAATTGAAATAAAAAAACGCAAAGTGTAAGCTCAATTTTTTAAATTATTAAGTTCGATAGACATAAAATTACTGTCAAATCAATATAGTAGTTTTTAAATACTAATTTTCTATGTGTATCCTGTCACAGACAAGTAACAAACAGTTTGCAGATTGGCAGTGGTCCACAGACAACATCAAGGAGCACCAGTTCATGTTATCTGATGAAAAGAAATGTCTTTAGTTTTCTTAGATTATAACCACATGGGCCTATGTTATTGAAAACTGAAACATTTCAACTAAGACATTCTTTGCTTTTGACTTACAGATAGCTTGAATATGTGGATTTAAGAGGTTTTAGAAAATTTCCTGTTTCTTTAGGATCCTTTCTTTCGATACAAATAAATCCCATGAGAGCAAAGGGTAGTCATGTATTACATTACAATTTAATGCTAAGATCAAAGTATACTGACCTGTGAATCCAAAGCAACATTTTCTTAAATAGGCTTGAAGTACAATCAATCTTCATGGGCTACCTATAATAAAAATGATATTTCCTGGTTCGATATATTTAACTTGATATGATTGAACACACATATAAAGGTTTGTTTCTGATATGCAGTGAAATATAGCAGATGGGTCGATGTGTTCCATTTATGAAAGATTAAAATTCTACATAGGTATTAATCTGACTGAGTGATAAATAAAGTAAATTATTTGGATTTTGGCAAGCATCTGCCTAAGCCCTTATCAACGATTTGGTTAATGAATTGCAGACAGGGGATGCAAAAATGGTCAGACTGTAGATTACCCCTTGGCATTCAACATGGCATAGCTGAGGAATCCAAAAACACAAAAACAAAGTTCTAGAGTGATAGAAGTCAAGGATGGGGATGCTCTAAATAATATGCTGAGATCATACCTAGAGTTAGTTTAGAGATTTATTAAATAAAATTATATTGCTCAGACTCCATTGTTGTCTGTATCAGATCTGACACTGAAGAAAACACATGGGCAAATGCCAAAGAGAACATAATTTTCACGTATGAGATAAAAGTCATAAAAGGCCTTATAGACACATTTTAAAACGAAAAAGCAAATTGAGCAACTAATCTGTAGCAGCATTATACCAGTTATTTAAAAACTACTGCAGAAAATTTCTAACCATTAACTCTTCATTAAGAGTTAAAAACATTTTTTAAGTTCAATTATAGCAATATTTACTCTGTTAATGAAGTAAGTGACCCCCAAACACAGTTAACTATCAAAACAAAACAAAACTTTGTCACAAGATGTTGGGGCACTGTAAGAAGTTCAAGAGACTAAATTCTCAAAGCAGGATGTTATAACTATCACCCTTCTTCTATTTCCAGATAAGTCACAGGAGATGGATAGATGGCAGCTTGCTAAACCCACACCTAGGAAGTGATTAAACGTTTTATTCAAAGAAAACTTTTAAAGTAGCATAGCTTTTATGAAATTGAGGATGGAGAAGAAATAGGAAAAAGCAACCTCTTTGGGGGCTCTGTGCTCCCCAAAGCAAAAAGAGGTGAAATGAAGTGGGGAAAAATATTTTTTAAAAGTAATAAAAAATATATTCTTAATTTACATTGTAGCAAGTTAAGCTGAATTATGGAATAATTCACCACGTGGACTGGGACAGAGGGGAGAAATGATGACATTGCAGGCAGAGGCAGCAGAGAGAAAGTTGGCATGTGGAGGATAGCGTGAAGTAGCCGGGCTTGATCTCAGAAATAGGAGTTTGGAATGGCTGGAGCACACCCAGGAATGGAGTGTCTAGTGCTGACCGTGGAGAAGGCTCAAGCCAGTGCTTCTCAAACTTATGGGCAGGTAAATCACCCGATTCAGTGGAAAGTCCTGAGAGTCTGCTCTTCTAAAAAGCTGCAGTGTTTTGCAGATGCCCTAGTCCACAAAGCACCCTGTGAATAGCAAGACTGTAACTTTTATCTTAATATTTATTGATAATTTAATGGATTATGAGTTGCCACTGTTTAGTTATTTAGTATTTGTTGAATAGCACAAAATACATGGCATTTTTGTTAAACTAGATATTAAGTAATTTTATATAAGTTTTGCTCTGCTGATGGTGAAATAATACTTTTAGCAACTTCATGTCAAGTACAAAAGAAATAAATAATTTAGGTATAAGCTCTCATCTTTTATTGAATTAGCTGATTGGGGGTTGCAATATAATGATGGAAAGAGTCTAAAATTTGGATTCTGATTTTTAGAAGTAGGCTCCAATATTAGTTTTGTGACAATAACTGTGACTCTATAGAGCTAATTAACCCTTTCTGTTTTTTTCTCTTGTCCAAAATAGTTATACTACTTGCCATTTTATGGAATTGTTGTGAGGGTCAGAAATGATATGTACTATGTAGGGAGAGGTTAATGAGAGTTTCAATTACCAAACTTTTGAGATTCCTTAAAAGTTAAAATTTTATGATTCTTAAATAAAGAACATTGATCTGATCCTATCCATCCACTTTTAAGTCTTTTTTTTCTCAGCGACTCTTAGCAAGTTGGAGAATGTGGTTCTTTGTAGTAAAAGCTCCCACCACTACCCCACCCAAAGGTCCACTTATACACATCATATATAATATGATTGTTATAGAGGGGAATATGGTGTACATCTGAATGCTCTGGATGTATGAAAAAACAGGTTGGATTATAGTTTTATCTGATTTTTACTGTTCTTTTGTCTTATTTTTTTATTATTTCTTGTTATGAAAATTTTCTATATAATTTGCCACTTTCAGTTTGCTATGGAACAGGTACATCTCTCTTCCAGAGAGAAAAACATAACCTTGACCATCATTCAAGCCTATAAACGGGCATACCAGTTTGCTTGACCATCATTCAAGCCTATAAATGGGCATACCAGTTTGTGGTCCTCCCTAGGGAGAATGAGACTCAGTGCAGAGACCCACAAAAGACCTAAAAGCAGGAATTCTGAAGTTCTGGTGTCAGGACCCCAGAAGGGGGACATGGACTATGGGTGGGCACATCTCTTTGATCTTGAGGCCTCACGGTATGGGAACAGGCACGGCTGGAGACAGGCCAAAGCAGGGCCCTCTAAAGCTCAGGGCAGGGGTCTGGATTGTTGGGCAGGAGTGTGTTAAGGAAATTAGTATTTTATCTCAGCTACCTTTTTTTGATACTAGCCTGTTTACTTAGCTTTCTTGTTTCATGATGGTAGTACACTTTTATTTATGCCTGAGTTTTTAATGGGTACAAGAAAATTATAAACATTTAATTCATTAGCTCTGAGATGGAAATAAGTCTTGGTGATAAAAAAAATTCTTAGAGTAAATGTGGTCTTGCTAGTAGTTATTTTATTATGCGCTTTTCTTTCTAATTCTGTGCCTCGTCCTTATGTTTTGTTTTTTTTAGATCGGCTTCAGCTCCCCCGGAATATGATTGAAAACAGCATGTTTGAGGAAGAACCAGATGTAGTGGATTTAGCCAAAGAGCCATGTTTACATCCTCTAGAGCCTGATGAGGTGGAATATGAGCCCCGAGGTTCACGGCTGCTGGTGCGGGGTCTTGGTGAGCACGAGATGGATGAGGACGAAGAGGATTATGAGTCATCTGCAAAACTGCTGGGCATGTCCTTCATGAACAGAAGCTCAGGCCTTCGGAACAGTGCAGCCGGCTACAGGCAGAGCCCAGATGGGACTTGTTCAGTACCATCTATAAGGACCATGATGGTCTGTGCTTTTATCATTTTGGTTGCCATTTCTATAATCATGGTGATTTATCTACTACCCAGATGTACCTTTACCAAAGAAGGCTGCCATAAGAAAAACCAATCAATGGGACTAATCCAGCCAGTTGCAACAAATGGGAAGTTGTTTCCATGGGCACAAGTCAGGCTTCCCACTGCCATTATGCCACTACGCTATGAACTTAACCTCCACCCAAACCTAACCTCAATGACATTCAAGGGTTCTGTGACGATTTCACTTCAGGCTCTTCAGGCCACTTGGAATATCATTCTTCACAGCACAGGCCATAATATTTCAAAAGTGACCTTTATGTCAGCAGTTTCGAGCCAAGAAAAACAAATTGAAGTCCTGGAATATCCGTTTCATGAACAAATCGCCATTGTTGCCCCTGAAGCCCTCCTTGAAGGACACAATTATACCTTGAAGATAGAGTACTCGGCAAATATATCTAGCTCTTACTATGGGTTTTATGGCACTTCCTACACAGATGAACATAATGAGAAAAAGTATGTAGCCCTCTTAAATGATTCTCCTTCTTTACTCTGTGATGACTTCTGCAATATGGATTCCTTTGCCCATATTTTTTTAACTGCAATTTAAAAAAATTTAGGCCAATATGTGTAAAATAGTAGAATGGTGATTTAGAAGAATGTGCTATTTATTTCTTCCTCAAAGCCTTGAGCATATATCATATTATCATGGTGGGGTTGGGGTGTGCTGATGGAAGGAAATGGATAAAGATTATATCGATTACAGTCTCCATCACAAAAATGTGTGTTATCTTGAGCTTTTTATATCTTATAAAGTGAATTTAGTTTTCTTTCACCTTACGAGATCTCTATAGGAAGCAGAGTGAAGAAGGGTATGGATTATTCTTTTAAGACCTGTCTTCCTAATATGTGCAACTTTTAGGAGGTACTTAGTGAGATGGAGAAAGAGGTATGAAAAAGAGGGTGTGATGTATGTATGCTTACATATATCATTTTTAGTATCCTTAACCTTTGCTGGTTTATTTTTTTAAATGCCACTCTATTTTGAATTTCTGATGGAAATTTAAAAAAAATCTAGGAGAGACTTAAATTGATTTTTTTAAAAAAGCGACTCAAACATAAAGTATTCAGCTCCCTATTCAGACCATGTATTTTGTACTTTAATCTTAGTATTAATAGCACGTAGTTCGAATTTCTGGAAAGATGGAGTGCACGCTGCTTACAGGTTATTCTTAAGTAGCAGTGATGTCAGTTCTTTTGTGTGCACAGAGCCCTTGTTAGACGTGTTTAGTGCGAATTCTTTCATATTACTTTGTAAACCAGTATGTGAATTACTGATGCTGGCCATTTGGCTAATGTGCGTTGGCATATTGAGAAAAATAGAAGCGAATATTTTAAATCTTTTTGAAGTTTTTGAACCATTTCAAATAGAGAAAAAGACAAAAGCAGGATCTGTAGTCCTATTCAGATAAATAATTTTTCTCTTTTCTCTTTTATGTAATACTTTTAAAATAAATGGCATGCTGGCTTTTCATGAGATCTAACATTAAAAGTAAATTTATAATTGCAATAGTAGCTCAGGCTTCTTTTTTACCTCTCCTTCCAAAATCTCTACCATCTTTAGAAATTATAGGATATATATAAAAACTGTTCTTAGTATGCAGAGCTTTAAGACAAATATTTTATCATCTCTTTAAAATGTTATGTGGCAGAATAAGGCAATTTTGGTATGGTCTCTTGTTGACTCTTGCCACGGGCTGAATTGAATTGTGGAAAATTTTGGAAAAATGGAAGACAGTGTCTTAAAATTAATAAATAGAGTATCAAAAGTAGTATTTTAAAATCTATTAGAATAAATTTGTGAAACTCTGCTGTTACAAAAAATACGTAAATTCATGAGCCTGTCCAATATGGTAAAATGAATACCTCATATGAATGTATGTCTCGATGCAAGATAACAGTTTAGAAGATTATTTATACCTTTTAAGATGTCTGAAAACTATAATTCAAAGCAAATTTTTGGTCTTTTTTCCATTTTTAATTTAGCTTAGTCCTATTAGAGAAGTTTTTTATACCCTTCCCCCAGGCATAATAAGAATAAATATTTAAACAGGTAGGTAAAGTAATTAAGACATATATTTTTATTTTCCATTCAATAAGGAATAAGGAATATATGTAAATGCCAAACATGTATTGACACTTCTTGTGGTAAGGGAATGTTAGGGATGTCATCTCAGAGGTGGAGATGGTCAGTGACCTTTAAATATTTAAATATTTAAACAGGTAGGTAAAGTAATTAAGACATATATTTTTATTTTCCATTCAATAAGGAATATATTCCTTATTGAATGGAAAATAAAAATATATGTAAATGCCAAACATGTATTGTCACTTCTTGTGGTAAGGGAATGTTAGGGATGTCATCTCAGAGGTGGAGATGGTCAGTGACCTTTAAATATTTAAATATTTAAACAGGTAGGTAAAGTAATTAAGACATATATTTTTATTTTCCATTCAATAAGGAATATATTCCTAAGAGGTGGAGATGGTCGGTGACCTTGCAATTAAATCTAGAAGCTGTTGATTGACTTTAAGGTTCTAGATGACAGACTGATATGAAAGGAAATAGTAAACAAATTTAGGAAAGAGGTGGAGATGGTCAGTGACCTTGCAATTAAATCTAGAAGCTGTTGATGATTGACTTTAAGGTTCTAGATGACTGATATGAAAGGAAATAGTAAACAAATTTAGGATGAGGATGTGTTTTATTTCTTTGTCTTTAAATCCTCAGTGTATTTTTTTTGAGCTCTTAAAGCATTCTCTTTCACTGATCTCCTGGCTTCTAATCTTACCACATTTCCCCCTCCTCTTGCCCCTACCTTTCACACTGCCGCCAAACTCGTATTTCTAGAAGTACAGATCTAATCTTGCTGGTCTTTGGTTTACAACAGTTCCTTATTTCCAACAGGATTTAGTTCAGGATCTTTGAAGATCAGGCTCTTGTTTTTTTCACAGCCCTCACTTGCCAGGATGAACTTCATGGGCACTTTCCTGAATTCTAGCGATAATAATAGCCCATATTTACTGAAAACTGAAGTCCTAAAAACTGTTTCAAGTATTTTATATGTTTACTTGTTTATTCTATCAAACCCGCTAAAAGTTGGATATTAATATTCATTTTACAGATGAGGAGGCACATAAAGTAATTTATTCAGTATCTTATGGCTAGCAGGTAGCAGAGAGAGATTCAAACCCAAGGTTATTTTAACTAGCAGGCTACATTCTTAACCACTATGGTGTATGGTCTTCCTAGTTCATACTTCTTTCCCATTACCCATTGTATCATTAGTGCTTTGAATTCTCTTACTTGACTCCCAGCTAATTCATAATTATCTTCAGTACTACTGGCAGTAGTACTCAGACTGCAACTAGCATTTTTCTGAAAGCAAATGCAGTCACTAATGCAAGAATAAGCTTCAAGGTATTCAACATAGGTAGGATAGATTATAAATTATCATCAAGCAGCCCACTTCTAAAAAGGACTTTTATGTGGGCTAGTTGTTACTGCATCTTTTTTAACAATGATTTAAGATATTACTTGTCTTAGAACATCACAATGCTGTTTTTATACAAAGTGATGGTCCAAGTAAACTCTTTTTTATGAATAGTATGGATGTTATCAGATTTTATTCCCTGGTCCCTAGTGGCCCTCTTCTAAAATCTTCTGTTAACTGGGTAAAAATTTGGGAGTAGGGTGAAGAAATGGAGTGTTAGAAATGTAATATGTTTACATTGTTTTGTGTATGTTGATTGTTATCTTTCTTGCAGTTTACCCAATAGAAACAGTTATTTGAGCAAGTCCTTACCAGGAAAAAGTATAAAAATTCTAAGTGTGAAAGAGGAATTATGACTATCTAGTGTTTATAATAAACATCTATGTAGGACTTGATAGCATACAAGTAGTTTTTATTAGGAATAGTTTTATTTGATTCTAACAAAAGCCCTAGGTGTTTGTCAGGGGATCCTACCTCAATCCTAATATAATAAATAAGGAAACTGAGACTTAGGTCACTGATTTGCCTGAAGTCATATGGCTAGTAAATTGCTGAGTTTATATCTTCTGACTCCAAATCCCATGCTCTTTTGTATTTCTCTTTTAAAAGTAGAAACTAAGCCCTAAGCAAGTGAGGCTGTCATGTCTAATGTGGTCGGCGTATATGTACCATATTGACTGGTACCTGAAATATGCACATCAGGGCTGCATTTGCCCTTAATCACTGTATGGCCATGTTTTTGGATGATTTATCAAGTGCAAATCTGTTTTATTCCTTTGCTTAATTGAACATCTGCATTTCTCCTCTTTTGCTTTTTACGCTTTTCTACCTACCTTTAATTGAGGACTTTTATATGAGTCAAATTCTCACGTGTTATTGCTGTGCTGTGGGTGGGGAGGGGAATGTTTGATTCTTTTCTAAGGAGCATAAAGGAAACCAGCGTACTACAGGACACCTAACTTTTTCTATCTTCATGAAAGTGCACGTTGTGCATTTGAGGTTTAGGTTGCGAAGCTGGAGTCTGCACAGATGAGTAATGGCAACTAATGACCACCCTTCATACTGATCTTCTATCAGAAGCCTTTTAAAGACCCCATTGGCCAGACACAGTCTACCTTTGTGGCTTCATCTCCAGCAACACTGGATAGCCACCTCCAGTCCCTGAACATGCACTACTCCCTCCTCGTGCTTCCCACTCTTCCTAGAATGTATTCGCTTCCCTTCTCTACCTTTTCAAACAGTCCTCATTTTTTAAGGCTCTCTTCAGATTTTGTCAGCCAGTTTCCTTACTGTATCTCAGGTGCTAGTCAGCATTTGTTTCCTATTCTTTGTTCCCAATGCTTTGGTTTCACCATTATGATGTGATTTGCATCCTGACAAGTTTCTGTCATTTGGATAACCTTTGCCTCTCCCAGTCGATTGTGGATCCTTTAATGATTGGAATTATATGATGTTTATCTTAGTACCCCTACTATTTGGCAAGGTGCCTTGAATAGTAGGTGCTCAATAACCTTTGGATAAATTTGCATTTGTTTTAGGTACTTTGCAGCAACTCAATTTGAACCCTTGGCAGCAAGATCTGCATTTCCTTGTTTTGATGAACCAGCGTTTAAAGCCACATTTATCATCAGGATCATGAGGGAGGAACACTACACTGCTTTATCAAATATGCCCAAGGTACTGTTCTGTTCCTTGATTATAAAATCTTTGAACGGGTCTCTTTCTTTGTTACAAATACTTGAATTCCTCTTTGCCATATTGCTGAGAATGATTTAAATCTCATACATTCTTCTTCTTTCTTAAAATACATAAATAAAAGTTAAAATATATGTTGAAATCAGTTGGGAAGTCAGCCTGAGACACACTTAAGAGGAAGACCTGCTGGATGTGGAACGTATGGTCAGGAAATGTGAAGTGTGTGCTGTATACTAAAGTTGTACAAAATTATTTATACTATGAATGAGTACTGAAGATCACAGTGATGTTTTCTGAGACACGGTGAATTTGCTGGTCTAAACAGTGACATTTGATACTGTTAAATCAGATTGACCTTGGTGTTTTATTGTTTATTGAAAAATGAGTGTCGTAATGTGGAGGTTTAATAAGAACACAAAGGTCTTTCTTGGATATGAGCTGTGCATGAGAGGCAGGGAGGGTGAAATCAAGCAGAGTTGTTTTTGTGGTAAACAGAACTTGAGGGTCCTTTTGTTGACACCTTAGGGGCTGTAAGCGGCCCAACAGAAGCCTCTCAGAACACAAGCGACTAGGGAAGAGGAGCAGCCACATCTGACAGAGTGTGGAGCTGACCCTGGCAGACAGGAGAGGACAAGATCTGCCCTCCTTTAATGATTCCTGGTAACTGCTTTATGAA